ATCAGAAAAATCAAATCTAATTTTCCAAAAGTGCAAACAAAGAAGCAAGAGCCAGATGCCAACTCTGATGTGTTAATTGGGGTGTCACACCTACAAAATAAAATAGGAAGTGCTCAATTTTCTTCTCATGCCATGAATAAGCCAACATGAAGTCCAAAAGTCCTGAGGTTTTTCAGTAAGGTGGCCTAGCCTGAGTGGTCTCAGAGGAGGCTTTGTTTTGGGCCTTCCCTGTACCAGATTCCTGTGCTGCCCAGTAACTTTCTGTGCATTGTTGTGCTTTTCCCCAGGAGCAATACTGGTGGGAGCTGCTTAGAGCCACGGTCAGGCCTCCAGAGGGAGGGTGACTGGCAGATCCGTGGCACATCTCCCTTTCAGCCTGGGTGTTTCTAGAGCCACCAAGCAGGGTTGGGTTTTCACAGTGCTTCCAAAGCATCCTTGTGACTGCTGGAGAAATTTTAATCTCCAGACCTTCAAATGCAAAACCTTTCCCCTGAAGAACATCATCCTGAGCAGGGAGCTGCTGGCTGACCATGGGTGGTCCCCAAGAACTGTTGGGGGAAAGAAAGGTGGAAAAACTTCCCTGTGTCTTGGGATCAAATTTGGCCTGAACCTCCCCCTTCCTTCAGCCTTGGTTGTCATATAGAGTTGTTGGATGAGCCTAACCACTGCTTTTCTCTCTCGCTCTGTCTCTCTCTCTCTTCCTCTTTTCCTCTTTCTCTCTTCCATGCAGGCAACTTTGTAAAGAATTTACAGATCTCTTGGCCCAGGACAGGACGCCCATTGGGAACAGCCGGCCCACCCCTATTTTGGAACCGGGTATTCAGAGCTGCTTGACTCACTTCAGCCTCATCACTCACGGCTTTGGGGCCCCTGCTATCTGCGCTGCCCTCACAGCCCTCCAAAACTACCTGACTGAAGCTCTCAAAGGCATGGACAAGATGTTCTTGAACAACAACACTGCTAACAGGCACACATCTGGCGAAGGACCAGGTAGTAAAACTGGAGACAAGGAAGAGAAACACAGAAAATGAGCAAGAGAGAGAAAGCAAAAAAAAATTAGAAAGAAAGAAAGGAAAAGAAAAAAGTTAAATAAAAGGAGAAAAGAGAGAGATAATCTTTTAAAAACAAAACCGTCTTAATTTTAGCTTTAAAAATACTGGATTGGGCTTTGGAAGAATTCTATTAGGTAGGACAAAATAATAATAATAAAATAAAAATAATAATAAAAGAAAGACAATAA